TTCTTGAGCTCGTCACTGCATCACCTGTACAGAGGCCATTCGGAAACAATGTTCAACAATACAAGTACACTGACCTTTTCACCTTGCCGTTCTATCACCCTCCTTCCCATCGTGGGAATTGAGTAAACAGCAAACCAATGTCAGAGTGTGTGCTATGTTAATCGTGTTTACACTATCCTATGCCCCAAAAATCCTCAAAGGTCCTTTCTCTCTTCCCGCTGCGCTCGCGTTCTGGCTTCAAGTCAACAGGAACGACCTGGACGAACTGAACGACCTTAGGTTGTTGCTTTCTTTGGTCTTAAAGATCGCCAATCACCTAAGTCTGTAAAACATTTTAGGTCTTGGGAGGCTTGAGGCTTTTACAGGGACAAAGAAAGCCAACCGTCTGAACTGTCTGAAGATGAATAATGTCAAGTTGATGAAGCCTAGGTTGAGCACGATGTTCCCCGCCAACATCGTTTGGGCCTTGCTCATTACAAGCTAAGATGATTTCGTTCCTCGTAAATCTACAGAGACCCTATTCCCACCTCAATTGGAAACGCCAAGACGGTACCGATCGATATGTTAATGTATATAATCAATTAATCAGTACCGGCAGATCTCTATCTCTGACAGTCGAGGACTGCGGCATCTTTCTGCCAGCAACGCCTCCTTTTCCACCGCTTACGTTTGGATACGTTTGGTGTTTCTGAAGTAGAGTGAAGTGACGCGGAGTGGCTAGTGACCAGCGACCAACGTAGCATGAGATGCGGAGTGGGCTCCTGTTTGGGCCACGGTCCTTTTGTGTTCAGGATGTGTTCTGCGAACATCGAGCCTCTGGGTGTTCTTGGAAGTGTCAAAGCAAGTCACGAGGAGAAAACCCCTCCAACAGAGACCTCGCAGGTGTCAGAGACGCCTGCAAAGGCCATGGGCCCAATATGAATCACTGATCTGGGGATGCTCAAGTTTCTCAGCGAGCAGCCTGCAAATGCCCCCTGTCCAATCAAAGTTACAGAATTGGGAATGGTCAAGCTTGTCAAGGAGCTGCACCCCTGGAAGGCATAATTCCCAATCTCAAACACAGAGTCCGGGATGGTCATACTTCCCAAAGACGTACACTCAGCAAAGGTATCGTTTCGAATTCGTGTTATGGACTTGGACACAGTACAGCTGGTCAAGGAGCTGCATTGGGCAAAAGCTCCATCTCCAATCATGGACACAGAGTCAGGAATCACCAAATGTCTTAAAGACCGACATCCTTTAAAAGCGGCAAATCCAATCCATGTCACAGAGTTGGGAATGGCCAAACTCACCAAAGAGCGACATTGTGCAAAGGCATCGTCTCCAACTCCGGTCACGGACACGGGGATGGCCACACGTCTCAAGGCCCTGCACTCGTGAAAAGCACGGGGTGGGATGCTGTAGGTCGAGTTGATCTCGGGCAGGCGAACATCGATCAGCCTCTCAGGATCACGAACTGTTGCACGACTCATACACTCTTGAGGTCGCGATGGTGCAAAGATGGCCTCCGGGCAGAAACACACAATGCTGGCTTCAATATCAAGATGCAGCAAGTTCTGTGAATTGATGTTGAAATGATGAATTGATCTCTAGTTCTTGGAATTCTGCAGATCTCTGCAGGACGTGTGACTCGCGGTTCTTAGTGGACAGTCTTGCAGGTTCTGGGTGACTTTGAGAGATTCACCAACCTGGAATTTTGCAGTCAGAGTGAGTCCAGTGTCAAGCGCATACGCGTCATCATCCTCCAACTTCCTGGATGAAGAAACCAGCAATAAATGCAAAAACATGCGAATACCACTTGAAATTAGAGGCGGTTCTTTGTTTCGGGAAGTTCGCCCCAACAAACCATGTTTCAAGCACACAAATAATTAATGCAGAACCTCAAAAACCCTATGCAGAAATCAGGTGTCTTGCCGTCCAGCAGGAGCTGTACAGTACTCAACTCTCGGGCTAACTCATCTTCGCAAGGCAGCCACACCTTGCGAACACGTGATTTTTTTTGTATGCTCTTTTGGCATGACACTGTCTGACAGTCTGACGCAGATTTTTTTTGTATATAAAGCATATAAATGGTGTATAAAAATGTCTTGAGGGAATTGTGCTCTCCCGGCTGAACCAACCGCATCACGAAACACCAACGGCTGAAAGAAGTGAGATCGAAGAAATGAACTGCGATCTGCAATGATCAAGCATAATTAAACAAGTTTGAGGGTGCTAGGGTTTGCCGTTTGTCCGACAGGCCTTGCCAAGGCACCAGAAGTTCTCTAGACACTTGACTCCCTAAGATAGCGCGCTCAGCTAACTGCTTCTAAGTATTCGCAAATGCTGCCCTTCGCTCTTCACCTTTAATTTCTCTGATGGAATTATGTATTCTACCGTCATAGGATGTCATAGGCATGGCTTTGCAGCCAACAAAACTTTGGCCAAAGCAGCTATGAACCCACAGCCAATTCTCAGTACACAGTTTAAAGTGACATTGTTATTTAAACATCTTTAAACTCCGTAGAGATTTGAATGTCTCAAATGTATAGAAAGGTCCAGACCTTCACGAGCTCTTTCACCTCTCCGACGGTCATGTGCGGTGTGATGTCCACGACGCACTCCTTGCCGCTCATCAACTGCACGGCAACGCTCACCGCCATGTCCTGCGCCGCCCGACCTCTTCGTGACCCTGAGCACTCGATGCTGTGTCGGGCGAACAGAAAAGCTGCGAAGAAGCTGAAGGAATCCAAATCCCAAAGCAAAGGAATCAAATCATGAACTAGACACATTTACAGTTTACACAAAATCTTCGGAGTGCCTACAGTAAGCTTTCTTCAGAAACTGTGTTTCAGGCAATGAAGCTTTGGACAGGGTGCTAGGGTGCTGCCTTTTTGTCCCATAGATTCCCAAGTTGAGGCATTATCCAAATCACCTTACCCAGATCCCCAGCATGCTGAAACATGCTCTCAGGATGTAGCATCAAACCAAACGCTGGAGCACACCACTCCAAAAATCGATAGAACTTGAGAATGGTGAGACCAGACCAGAAACCAGAAAGCATCAGAAAGGAAAGCTCCTGAACTGAGGAGCGTACAATCAAAGAGCATCTGGGATGTACTGCCCAGTCTTCTCATTGTACCTGCCAAGTTACTACTAAATAGCTACTTTCTACTTGCAACGTCGGTTGGGCATTTTCACCGCGCCCAATCGGAACTTCGACTTGTACCGTTACTTGAACATCTTCCAAAGACCAGCCACGCCCTCTCCAAAGAAAAAAGCCTTTTTCCCTACACCCCGATCCTGCGTCTCGTGTTTAACCCCCGGGTCACAGGAAGATCTCTCGCCGCACGGCAGACTTCACGAAGGTTTCTCGTAGAGATGCCCAGCGACGATGGTCCAACCTGTCTCCCGAGTCTCTGCGCGGACGCGTCCCCGCGCAGAAGCGAGCTAATTCGAGGGGTGGGTCGAGAGTTGTTCTCCGTTTTGGAGCTGAAAACAGACACTCCAACGTTCAGCTGGGGCCAATCACAGATGCTGGGGAGGGGTCGCAGCCTTCGAAGGCGCGAACTGGACTTCCCCAGGTAGCTTGACACCATAATACCCATGTTGTTGATTTCCACTCAATCCATGAACTCAAACCCTTTCAAAGGAGGTGTGGACTCGTTGTCAGTGAACACAGGATTGAGTTCGCCTGGGTGATCTCCCTGAAATGTCCACAGATACAAAGCGCCCCATATGCACCCGTGCACCACCTGCATCACCCTGCGCGTGACCACCTTCACTTACCCGCCTGAAGTGCATGATGCAGGGCCGTCTGTGATTCGGATTGGGTTCGCCATTCTTGTCGACGTACCTGATGTCTGCAGTAACAATTTTTAAGTGGTTAGAAAAAACATAAAAGGATAAGTAACAATTTGAGCGTGTATTCAAATTACCTTGGAAGAAGAGCATAGCCACCCAAACATCACCAAACCACATTGGTCGGGGGTCTCCTTGTTGAAATACAAACCCATTTGCCTGCTGAATTGGCGACGGTCGATCCAAATTGCGAAAAACGTTGTCTTTATCGGCAAGGAATTGCCATCTGCCTCAATTTCCTCTGGAGGAAGCAGTCTTACGTACCTTGAAAACGAAAACGTACTCATCGAGCGTGTGAAAAGTACAAGCACAGCGTTGCAGGCCGGCTCACGGGCAATCCCACAAGCAGCAATCAGGCGCGCTCACCGCCAAGATTTGCGCTAAGAACCTGGGTGGGATCACACGCAAACCCTCTCTAATCTGAGCAATACCTCTTGTCACATTGGTCGAATCTCCTATTGCAAGTTGTGGAGAACATCTCCACCCTGACCCCACATAATCTCAGGCGGGATAGTTCAAGGGTGTCTATCATGTATTGCATAACAATGCATAACATGAACTACGGGTTTTTGGGGTGCAATGACCTCACACTGGCCACTGCTGCGCTTGCTGGGTACGTAAAAAACAATATTTTAGCCCTTGTATGGCTGTGCTTTTGACATGAAGACTCTTTCAGTCCCAAGGGTCCTGGAATGTCTTGTCCAAACTCCCTTACGTTACGTTTGAGCAGTCCTGCTCAGTCACTGTTGCGAAAAAACATCAACATGGATCAACATGAACCTTTCATCTTGCCTGTCAATATAATTAGCCTTCTACAGATAGAGAGTCTATCTCTCTCTCTCTCAGAGAGGGAAAGGAAAGTTTTGTCACCAACATTTTTGAAGGCACGTTTCCATTAGTGAATGCCCTCTGCCTTTCATGGGTCACCGCACGGCAGCAGGAAGAGGGACTGCCCAGCCGTGCATGCACGAGCATGCAGAGTACACTGCCCCTGCCAGTGATGCAGAACAAAACCACATTTAGCGCATTTGCTTGCAAAACATGTATATACGTCATATAGATATATATTACTATATAAATGGTGTTGGTCAGTTTTTTCATGATGGAATTGCCATTCTTCGCGGAAAACATTGTGTTGCGCATCTTGCGCGGCCTCATCGCGAAGCATGGTCCTAAAACCATGTCTAGTTAACTTAAGCTGGACTATATATGTATATATATGTATATATATGTTAATATCACAGAAAGGGGACTGACATCTCGCAAAATGACCCCAGAATATGGTTGAGAGATGCTGAGAGTTGCCACAGCCATTCAAGGTCATTTCCTGGAGGAGGCTTAGAATAGTCAGGCACCACTCGACCCAATCCTCGTGCCAGCGACCAACACCAGGTGATGCAGCTTGGGGATGTCAGGGGGCCTCAAGCTTGGAACACTGACTTTAGCGGCGCATTCGCGAAACGAGACTTTCGCAGGTCCTTCGCGAAATGTCACAGGTGATTTCCCGGGAAGGCATAACATGTGCAAACATCAGCACAACCCAGTAGAACTGCGGGTCATTGCCTCACTGTCAGGGCTATGCAAGAGTGATGCAGTTGCAGCTTGTGAGCTAACTTGGGGAAAACAATTCTGTATATACTCACTGTCAGGGCTGTGCAAGGACAAGTTAAGTTGTCAGGTTGCTTGTCTGCGAGAGTGGCGACAGGAATCGGAGAATCCTTTATGCACTGCGAGGGCTGGGCAAGGAAAAGTTGAGGCTTCCGGCTTCAGTTCCTTAGTCTGTGACAGTGGGGACATGGAGGGACACTTCCGCCCAACGGCTCTGCCGGAGGATTGCCTTGTATTTCTACCATTTGTCGGTCGGTAGAAAACAAATATGAAAGACCTTCGAAAATCGTTTCGCGAAAAACACACTTTCAAACGGATAGTTTTAACTACATTTGAAAGGCTGCATTGTATAAAACTCCATTAAAGCTCCTTACACGGGGGTTCAGATCAATTCCCACATATACAACTAGCAGCAGGCATGTCGATGGTCCAGGATGTTCACCTGTTTTCCTGAACAGACTTTTGGAGACTCCCTCGTTTGGTTTACAGTATATGTTGGTTGCCAATATTGTGCAAGTTGTGCACTGCGAGGAACCTAGGGGTGGACACGAAACGGTGCCAAGTTTAGTGAAATTACTTTTGCACTGAAGTGAAGGAGGCAAGCCACCCACCGCGACTTCAAGCCCTTCAAATAATGAGTAGTAGTAGTAGTAGTAGTAGCAGCAGCAGCAGCAGGAGTAGTAGTAGTCGTCGTCGTCGTCGTATCCGTAGTAGTGGTCGTATCTTCATAATCAATATTGGACTATATACGGCTCACGGCAAATTAAAGATAACATGTCAACAAGAATCAGCACAAAGCATTGTGTCAAACCAAATGTTCTTCAAAGTCGATAGCTAGCAGCATCGGCTTGATCTGGCATTGTAGCTATACTGCTATACCATCTGTGCATATGGTGAATTATTTAATTCAACAGGGACTTGGAAAAACAAGAACGAGTCAATTCAAAACGTGCAGGAAAACTCCAAGACTGAGACCTCTAGTTGCAGCCAGCAAGGGATCAGGACCACATCGAGCGGCTTTGAACCCCAGCCTCATCCTCGCTTCGACATGCCTGAACCACCAGGGCAATCTACCCAACATCATTTCCTGGTGTTTAAGTCCCGTGGTCAATATGAGCGGCGGCATTTATTTGCTACTAAACTCAATTACACTGACACTACCTATTATAATGTGGGGGCACTATCTCGTTTGGACTACTTTAGTAGGAAGTCATGTCACAGTATCTCGTTCAGACTACTTTAGTGTAATCCAAAAGACGTATTTCGCTGTATGTGGGGGCCCTATCTCGTTCACCAGCAAAAGCTGCTGTTGGACAAACAAACAGAGCATGCCGTAGACTACAAATCTAGTCAAGACATGTTACGACCAAACAAAAGTGGTTGCTCACGATTGCACAAGACCATACACAAACAATGGGTCTTCAGCATTCAGTTCATCGCTTTCTTCAAGGTGCTCGTGCGATCGAGAACAAGGGAAGGCGTCTCTCTCGAAAGGGTGTGTCATCTTCCAAAATCCCATGGCAGATTTGGCCCAAATGGAAGGGGAAAGGGCCAAATTTACCGCTGGGCCATTTTGCCATGAAGGTATCATAAGACGGTGGAAGTGAATCTCTTCTCCTTTAAGAACTCCCAATCGTTGCTAATGTTTAACCAAAAAACATGTCTGAAAGAAACAATAAGCAAGATACACGTCCAAAACCTGTTTGAAGATGTTTGAAGAATATGTCAACAAACTGTTTGCCATTGTTTGCCTTTTCATGGAAACAAATTGAAACCCATCGTTTGTGCGCCTCATTGCCCACGCAAACGACAGCCCCACCTGAGACACGTGAGTTGACGTATATAGAGACCGGGAAATCCAGAAAGCTGGACATGTGGGAGCAAGAAGAAATGCCCTTTGTTCCTAGTAGCGTCCTTGTTCCTAGTACTGAGGCCAGGAGCAACCCCAGTAGCGTCCTTCCTGCTTGTGGCGATGCCCTTTGTTACTAGTAGCTTCATCAACGATATCAAAATCCCTTCACCTCCTCCTGGAAGGGGGGGCCTGGAATTCAATCCCTTTCACAAGTCCTGGCACAAGCACCTTTAAGTGATGTTCATCCCAAGATTCCGAAAGATCCCCTTGTTTTTCTCAAAGGGACTTGCATCCGATCTCCATGAATGCAATGATCTATGGGTGAGCGTAACGCGAGAGCTGGTGACCTGGCACCCCGACAAAGCAAGCACAGCGCCGGCTCTTCGGGTTGCTGCTGGCAGGCACTGCACGGCCTGTTACGCCACAAGGGGACCATGCAGTGAATGGCCATGGTGAGTGAATGTAATGACCAACGCTGCATCCAAGCGCAGGGGCATTTGTCTCCGCGGGAGCCTTTTGGGGAGTTCAAAAACACACAGTTTCGTTTCAGAGACTCACCTGCTTGCTGTTCACCAACATTGGCATTGAGCGAAAGCCATGGGCATTGGAAGGGATCGAATGATTGGAAACCGGACACTTTTTAGCAAAGTAAGCGGTCAGCGGGTCCTCTTCATGACGTCTGGCAGCATGAAACAAGATCTACAATACTATACTGGTGAACAACCTGTAGATTGGCTTCACTAGTAGCTACTTTGCGAATTGTGAATAACCCCAGCTGGAAAGCCTTGACGGAAGTGGCTTTGTGCCAAGGCAATTGTGATGACTTTGTGACATCTTCAGCAGTTGCACTCCATAGCATCTTCACCAAACTCTCGTGGACTCTCATCAAGCCCACGAGCCTCTTCCGGATGTCCTGGCATGTGGTTGCGTAGCTCCAAGCAACTCCCAGGGTGAGTTGTAGATGCATAAATCGAGTCTACTGGTTTGATTTCTAGGACCCCATCAAACAATGTTCTACCATGTTCTACCAAACATGTCTACATACCGTTTGGAGTTCTGGTATGCTCTTAAGACTGTTGAAACTAACCAGGGTCTTAAACATTATGAAACTACCCGTGCTTTTTTTCACCATACAAATCAAAAGGACCTCCTTGGGATACCTCAGTTTTTGCCGTTGTTCAGACTTGGTTGGGGGGTCGAATCATACGAGCCCGCATGATTGCGATTGGTTTCGGGGCGAAGACGTCGATACTTCGACGCTTCGACGCTGGCGTCCGGAAGCGTCGTGAAATCCAATGTCCAGAGCTGAACATCGGAGCTGAAAAGGATTTCTCCTAGTCTCTGGCCCAATTTCTCCCAAAGACTAGGAGAAAAGAAGCACCCCCTCAATTGTAAAGGGCATGGCTGTGCAGAAGCTTTTTTGTCGGAAAAGTCTCCGTCGTTCATGCTGCTAGACCGCTACGAGTAGCACCACTGCCCTTGAGCCAGTGACGCCAACGACAGACCTTGGATGGCCTTGGATGACTAGAGTTGACCTCGGCGAGGCAAGGGAGTCCAACCGAAGGACTTGCTTTGGTCCTTGAGGATGTCAAGGAAGGACTCGGGCAGTTGAATGAAGGACTCGATGCTGGCATCCGCCAGCTCTCCCTGGAACAAGGCCTCCGCACGGACCGAGCTCTGACGTCGAAAAAAGCCGAGAGTCGGACGTCAAACCCCGTCGCGCGGAGACTTATGATGATAGAAAGTTCAACAACCCATGCAAAATTTGAGATGACCACAGCTGCTACAAGATATAGTCAAATATACCATCATACACCCACAAAGCATGGATGGTCATCTTGATGACGGACGCGCACATCATCCCTTGGAATGTGATACTCTGATCGTTTCTTTCTGTGTGAGATGACCGGCCAAAAGAAAACCGGGGGGACAACCTCTGGGATGAACACCATGTGCTCAAAAACTGTTCGAGCCAGGGCACTGGTTTTACTCAATGCTTACTAACAAGAAGCTACTAGGAACAAGTGCATCGCTTCTAGTAACAAGTGCCTTACTAGTAGTAACAAGAAGCTATTAGGAACAAGAAGCTAGTTGGCACCCTATTTGCGTAGCCTTGGCCACAGCCATAACCCTCCCTCACCATGACCGGTGTGCCTGGAGTGCTGGCCGCTCCAGCACCTTGTGGGCCCAAAGAACGGTGACGAACATCGAACGGCCCTGGAAACGACGAAAGGAGACGACATATTCATGTCTCTGTCATGTTGCCAGATGACTGTTCAATTTGAGCCTTTCTTGGGGAATCATGCTGTTTAAGGAACACACACATCATCTGGATGAATTTGCATGAATTGCACGTGCAAAATATGGTTACCATGTCATCGCTACGTTTAAGTCGAATAAGTTCATCGTATTGACTCATATTGACACAAAGCATGGAAAAGCCACCACTTGACGTCCAACAGAGACCGCACTGGGAGACCGCACGGGTTCGACCATCTCTGGAAGCCTGCGTTCCCACGGGCGTTCCCATGCGCACTGCCTCCAATTGGTCTTGCACCCCAAGAAGCAACATACAGCTCACCTTGTTGGATACTGCAATGAAGAATGGAGCCCGGAAATTCATGTCTCCTTCAAAAAAGGATTAGCGAACGTCGCTTCGCTTTCTGATGGAAGCTGATTGGCCCTGTCATCCAGCGAAACTGGGATTTGCGCAGGATAAGAACCACATTCGCATAGATTTGAAATGCAATTTGCTTGTATCTTCTACTACTCTACTGCTCTTGTTGTGCATTCTATTCTTCGTCTGTGGAGGCGTTCAAAGGCTGCTTTTTGAAGCTGGAGTCGGACGGGAATGGATATCTTATGTTGTCTTGGTATCAATCCTTCTTCATCATAAGGCCCTAATACTACCTAAGGCTGTTGTTCTTTGACCTGGTTTCCATCATGCAAAGAGCCTACCTCAGGAGCGACATCAAAGAGGTCAAGGAGGAACTCTCAGTCTCCAAATATGCCAGCCTGGCACAAGTCATTCAGTGGGACTTGGTGGCAAGGTCGAGAGAACCAACAAAACAAGAAGACGAGGGCTAGCTGTTTGATGTGTTTCGTCTGACCACAACAAGGCCAAAACTGCTATAGGTCATACTAGTCAGTCATATGAGTCATATGTATCATAGCTTGATGACTTGAAAATTACTGCACAAGGGCTCTCAAGCGGCTAATGATCAGGGTCGGTCCTTCCACACTGGTCGATGATCCAAGCTGGATCCTTCTTTAGCCATCGGCCATCGACACTGGTCGAGCTTCTCACCGGTGGGAACCGTGGTGTCCGGAACCTGGGAACCGTATGTGGCCTGTTCCGCTCCTGTGGCGAGAACTGCCAAAGTGCAGTACCAAGCCACCTGAGGTCGGTCGCCGCGCGAAAAAAGAACACCAATCCCAGCTTCATAGCTGATATAAAGCTTGGGAACTAGCTTGGGATGGTGGAAGGCGAAAAAGACGAAAACGAAGGAAACTGTGGTGACTTTATGGCTTGTAGGCTCAATCAGCTTGGGGGAGATCTTTTTGATGCTGGCCAGGCTGGGCCGATGATGCGCCCTCCTTGACGACGAATCGGGGGCCGGGTGTTTGGACGTCAACTAAAAGGGCTGAATGTGTTCTTACAAATAACACCATAAGAGAAACCCGAGAAACAAAAGTCTCGCTTTGTCAATCCAACATGTAGACCTCATGCTTGATCCAGGTTACGTGTGTGTGTGTGTGGCGGGGGGGGCACAGGAGATAACTTTACAAGACCCTATTGTATCTTCAAAAAGCACCAAAACCACTCCGTCCGTTTTTAACCAGGACCATTCGTCGGGCTCACGCTGCGAAAATGAGGAACTCCATGGAATGCTCCAAAGCAAAGTCCTCCTGGAGGACATGTTCCAGGATAACGATGTGGGTCAATTAAAAACCTGGCCACAGATCTTTTGTGGCTATGGACACCGAAGGATTTGGACTGAGACATCTGAGACTTTCTGCTGGATGTCTGCAACATTTGCATATATAATATCATTCATTGCACTTAGTTCGCTGGATGAAAGACATCAACAGTTGCCCTGTGATTCGGTTCCTTGAATTTTAGTAGCAGTGGTGACAGTGGTCACAAATGTCTAGCACACTTGGCAAATAATTGGAATGTTCCCTCAGCAAGTGCTGAGCTAATGTTGGCGTGCTTTTTGGCTTTGAGAATCGCGTTGCTTATTGCTTCTTGAATTTCGGCTTTAAGATTTGGGCTACTAGGCTGCCTTTTTCAGTGCAATACGTAAGTTTTTCACAGTAAATTTAGATGTTCCCATGAAATTAATGGAGTCTTGGTGATATTCTTGGCGATTTCCCCCTCAAGTGCAACAAATAAAAAAAAGCAAGTTTGGGAGCGGCTTGAAGTCATCATTCTGGGCCGAGTGGACATCATCAGTCAAACCTCCAAAGTCATTCTCTCACGCGTGGTGCAAAAAGGTCTCAGTCTCAGGCTGAATAGAATATAAGAACGCTACTAGGAGCAAAGGGCGGCACCGCTACTATAGGAGCAAGGACTCTACTAGGGCTCCTGGCCTTACGACTACTAGGAACAAGAACGCTACTAGAGAATAGAAGACATTAATATAAAGGTGACACTCTCAGGGCTCTGAGGCCGTCTCTCCCTTTCAGCCAGTCCTGCGAGTGGCCTCTGGCGGAGAACAGCGAAATGGGTCCAAAAAACCTCGCAGCCTTCCACTCAGAAAGTGCGTCTGGGATCTTTGGGGGAAACAATGTGCATTGACCATACTGTTGCTCCAGCCGCTGGAACTCCTTCCTTCGTCGGAAGGTTGTAAAAAAGGATCCAATATGATCCAATACGTTAACTAGTAATATCCAAGCCAGTCCCCTTGGCCCTTCTGTGCCTGCAGCGCCTTTGGCTTGGGAGGCCCTCACCTCTGACAATGAGCTTTCCACGTGGTCTCCCCGCAGCCGAGTGGAGATCTCAAACACAGCTGGAAAAATGGAGATCTCAAATTCTTCTAGAGACCCATTCGTGCCAGTTTTTTTTACATTCTTCGTGTGCTCGGTCGGTTTCGGCGACATCTGGCCTTGAAAAGAAACATCACCAACTCTGAGAAGAATTTTGCAGTCAGCCCCTCCTCGTCAAGCTTTGCCGTCTCGAAACATGTCGGATGCGGAATGTGTTCTGCACGTATGAGGCAATCTTCTTTGGCTTAACCAATGACTCCAATGAAGCCAGCCATGAAAGACCCCCTCTCAGTTGGGTTTTCTCCTGATGTGTCATCTTTTACTTGGAGTCTTTGGACTGGAATCAAACTTCATCCTTACTCCCAGGATCCTCGATGATGTGCCTTTGATCTCCGTGTGCTCTTGGCCTTGCCGGCTGAGTATTTCTGCTGCATCTCCTCGCTGCAAATCTTAGATCCCCAGTAGGCTCCACTGGCTCCACCGCTTCACCCATCCCGGTCCTTCAGGCTGTCGAGGAGGAGGTCGGCCAAGGCACACTGGCAAGGAGGAGTGGGCATCTTTCTTGGTGGAGTGGTCAAGTCCCAGGGAGAGTAGCGGAGGAAGCTACTAGTAACAAGTGCATCGCTTCTAGTAACAAGTGCCTTACTGGTAGGAACAAGAAGCTATTAGAAACAAGTGCCTTACTACTAGTAACAATAAGAATTTAATTAGAATTGTAATTGCTTTTCTTGGTGGAGTGGTCAAGTCCAAGCAGGGAGAGTAGCGGAGGGAATCAAATTGAAACTGCAAGTATGATCGAAAATACCACAGACGTGTCCGCACTCCTCCATTCCATCCAATCCGCCAACTCTGAGATTCTTCGGCTTTCAGCGGGGACAGGACTCTAATAGTGTTCAACTGCCATACCGTGAAAGCAGAGCAAACTTGCTTTGCCAATGCTCTGATTTCTACCATCAACTATCGGGAAGACCCAGATGGTCTAGCCATCTAGCCTAGCAACGTGTTTAAAAAGACTATAAAAGCCAGGCTGACTCCCACAAGCCTGAATTGCCCTGAATTTACATCAAGAGAAAGACTCCCTTGTAAAACTCCGTTTCCCTGGTGTCCTAACTCTGAAGATGTGAGAACTGCGCTCGCCCCTACGCACTGCCACATCTGAACCATCACCTATCTGGCTTCCTAACGCGTGGGACAGCCCCAATTCAAGCCCAGTTGAGCATCTTTTTTTTCTACTCCAAGCACACAAGGCTGAAGCTGGCAACCTAAGGAGCCAAAGGGGCAAAGGCTGCGCACCCGCTACACAGCCTTTGGGAAAACAAGCGTTCCATGATTCCATGCCAACTAAGTTAACAGGTATGTTCTGAAATGCGGGGCCCCAAAAGAACGGTGGGACCCCCCTGGGATTGGCATAGAATCTAGGTGCTCTGGCTGGTTGTTGGAGTTGGAGGGTACTTTCCATACTTGGCCCACTGGCCCGTGTTGAACAAGAGTCTCTCGATGTGTCGATGTGCGAAGTCAACCTGTAGAACTCATGTGGCAGGACTCCCACTGTAGAATATCCCAAAAAGACCTCCTGAATTCTGTGCAAATCCGCCTGCTGGCAACAAGGCACGTTTTATGGGGGATGAAACCTGATTTTCAAGTTGCTATGACTAGGTGAAGGCTTTATCAAATACTGAAATACCTACCTATATAACTAACTGAAGTCACAGTCTGTATCCTTCAACGCTTCAACGACAGTGATTGAGAAGCTGCAAACCCATCATACTCCGGATATCCAGCAGCTCTTTGGCTAGAGCTCTTTCAAAGTCTTTCGTAGCCAATTCCAATCCTCCATAATCCTCCCTTGCCCCGGCCGATCAAGCCACGTATGCATGGCGGATGCCAGCCGTCACTGCGCGCCCAGCATGAGTAACTTGACCTGAGCACGGTCCGGGCATGTCAGGGTTGGAACTAGTGGATCCTGTTGTATATCTCTGCCTTGCTACAAATCATAGGCCTTCAATATCTTCTATCTTCAATGACTGTCAGAGCTAGCACAATACGGCTGAAGACCAACTGAACAGGATAGAATATGCTGAACCAGAGATCACATCCCATTCCCATGTCCTGTAGCCACTGCCGTTATCTTGGTCCAAGAAAAGAAAAATGAAGAAATGGTTGAACAAACTCAAATGAAAACAAATTTCCGGATCGGAGAGATCAATCCGATTGAAGAGGTACGAATACCGTCATCAATTGGGTCGCATACTCCTTTTGGATGGGAGACAGCACGGAATCTATGTACGTCTCAAAAACCTTCACATCCATTGGCCAAGTGGCCATTGAATAGGATTGCGGTCCCCTGTAGCGGACGCAACACCACCATATCCTCCTCCTCCTCATCCACTTTCTCCATGCTGGCCTTTCACAGCAATAAAGCATCACCATTGAGTTGGGCAAGTGTCCAAGATCTGCTTTCCTGTCCAGAAACTGCCCTTTCAGTTCCAAGATTTGTATATAAATGTGTGTGATTCAAGAAATGTTCGGTTCATGATTCATATGAGGCTTCCAAGCCATGAATGGCCAGTCGCCAGTCACCTGATGGCCCGTCGGTCCTTGGCGTCAGATCTAGTCTGTGGCCAGAAAGCAGTGCCACCACCCTGGAAGGCATCAGCTTCTGAGAGGAGCACGTTCAAGGTCAGCTGCTCCTCGTTCAAATGTGTCTTTTTTAGGTCCAACATGGGGCCATCTGGAATGAACCAGAACCAGGACCTGTTAGATAGCAAGTTTGGAAAAGTTGTTCATTGAACCCAATAGAAGCAAAAAAGGGGCTGAATAGACCGCTGTAGTGACTGGTGAATGCTGGCCGAGAATTGGAGCCAGCGTGGAAGTCAATGCAAAAACCAAGTGGCAAATACAAATGAACTCGATGCACCCATGCAAGGTAGGGAATCAGGCCCTTTCCGTATCTTTCCGTCAAAGACATCTACTAATCTACTCAATCTACTCTGCTGTATGAGTATAGGACTGACAAGCCTACTGCATCCTATTGCCATATGGTCATCTGATGTCATTTGTGTTTAAAGTCCTTAAACGCTTAAAGATTTCTCACTAAAGGCAACAAAGGTCTTCCGCATGGATCTATACAGTTACAAGCAAATACATTTGCTGAACATCATGCTGTAAACCTGACAAAATGAGGTTCCACTGCCGAATAATTCTGCTCGATTCCATCATCTGTACATATTGTAGGATAAAGTGCCGCACAATTTTGTAAGTCTGGAAACACCCATTCCCATAATATATCTAACTAGTAACTGACCTTTCTCACTGACAGCAGGTGCTCAGAGCTGGAGGGAAGTGACGAAGTACTTGGATTTCTGAGCTATTGGTTTTACATGGTTTTATTAGACTGGAAGTGTTGGATATGACATCAGCCTAGCTGACTTTCGCCAAAGATCTCGATCCATATGAGGTGCAATGCCTCCACCAGTAATGTACCTGCAGTGGTGGAAATCGGTCCAAATCCTGTGATTCCAAACAAAGGTGGCTCAAACGGTTCAACTGTTGTTGAACTCAAAGTGGGTTTGGATGATTCACAAATCAAACATCTACAAAGTTCCTTGACATTGATGACTCTGTCACACTGGTGTCACGTGGCACGGCCTGGACTGATGGACCATCGCTCTCTTCTCCATCATCAAACACAAGCCAGCACGAGGAGGCAGCAGGCAGGACACTTTGGGCAAACAATCACACAAAAAGGGGCGTTCAAGTCTTGCTTCACTCGGGCCCGTGATCCTTGAAATCATGTGTTTTCTATGTTTTCTGGGGCACTTGTTTCAAACCGTCTTCATAATCAGCCTGTACTGTACAGGTCCACAAAGCCTGCCGTGCTCTGAGGAGGAGCTGGAAGCAGCCCACGCCAGAATCCATGTCGGCACAGGGAAAGGAACGATTTGACCGGAAACTGCAGCGACAGCAAACAGTGACAGTTGTTTGGAAGGGGATGTCGGGATGTCAACTCCCACAACCCCAAGAAAGGGCATTGTCGTCAGGCTTTGCACAAGCGGCGCCGGTCACGATCGGGGTGTTGCCCTGGATGGCCGAGACCCGGGGAATGCCTTGAGGAGAAACAGTGCACAAAAACTTGCCATGATTTTTTCGAGCGCACGTGGCCCACAAAATACCGACGCCGACGACCACACGATTGGAGCACAGCGGTGTGATTGAGTTTTTGCAGCAGCATGCCAGAGGCCTTCTGGATCGAGCAATGCTGGCAGGCCAGATACTCAGTGGAGGCATCACTGAAAGGGCGAGTCAGAGCCCAGAGGAAGATGCCTTCTTGGAGGAGACCGGGCTGATTTCACAGCTCCGGGATGGCAGGAAGTCCGTGATGGCGATGTTGGATGCAAACCACATGGAGGCCAGACCATGAGTCTCCGTGCGCCGTGCATGAGGCAGGCTCCAGTCGTTCCGAGCTGTACAGGAAGAGGCAACTCCACGGACGCGGCATATGCGATCAGAGTCACGAAGGGCATCCACTACTGTTATAAGTTATAAGTTATAAGGAATCTACGGATGCTGCGTGTGTAAAATGTTGAGAGACTTTTCAGACACCCTGGCAGCACCTGAAGTGGCGGTAAAGTCTTTCAAAACTGGCGACTCCAAAGGCCCAGAAGGAGACTTTCAAGTGCTCAGTATACACGGAAAAAGCTGGTACTGTGCGACCTCTGCGTCCTTGCGCCAGAACGAACTGGTGGAGAAGTGCATCATTGACTGGTCCAAGGGCGGCTTCTGTCTCAAGCTGCTGCACGAGCCTGCTCGAAGTCCAGAGGACAGCAGCTGGCAGCTAGCGTTAGGCTGAAAGCGTGCGAGCAAGGATTCAGCAGTGCATGGCAGGCCGTCGCCCCGGAGCCTTAACTTCGGCAAAGCACCGGAGCCACTGCCACATTCTTGTCCGGTCTTTTGCGGTGCGTGGCTGGCTGACTAGGTCCTTGTGGCTTGAGAAAGACTGGTGCTGGAACAGAAGGCGGAGCAAACTTGTTGGCAGACTGAGCTGGAAGAATCTGTTTCAAGTTGTGCAAGCAAGGCTTGCACTTGCGGTGTCAGACCTTTTCGCGCAGTGCGTCCAAAATGCCTTCAGGGACATCAGGCAACTTCTCCCACTAAATTTCTCCAAGGTCAAGCTAGCAAGATCGCGACATTAAAGCCCTTGGCAGAAGGAACTACAATGTCAAGAAGTTGTTCTTTTGCATGAGTAGAGATCACAGCCAATGCGACGAGATGAGAGAAAAACATAAAAAGTGTTAAAAAGTGATTGGAGCTTGAGTGGGCGCGGCGGAGGTGCATGCCTGTGAGCTTCAGTCATGAAGTGGCACGCAATGCCTGTGCCAGGCCTAAACACAGCTAGCACACCTCACCATTCTACACAACAACTCATTAACTGGAGCTGGAGTTGACCGCATGATAATGCAAGAATTCTGGACTTTGAGTTGTTCATATTTTGTTATATAACTCAAGCAGCTTAACTCACGCTCCTAAAGCAACTGGT